AGTAGATGGCAAGGAGAATGAAGACCGAGAAAAGATCATCAGATTTGGCAATGACCAGGTCGTGGGTAACTTTGGACCAAGTAGTTTCCGTAGAGTGATGAGGTTGCCATGTTCAAGGTACTGTGCTGTACAGATAAAAAGATGAAAAAGAATCAGTTGCTGCCTTCGAGCAGTTCTGTGTTCTACTGGAGTGTGGAATTGTGGTGGAAGTGGGTGCAACAAACAGTAGTACCACCTGGGAGGATCAGAGAAACCTTCACAGAAGAGATGGTACCTGAGCTGACACTTGAATAAGGAAGACAGAGTCTGAGGGTTGACAATGAGGAAAAAGCCCATTTCAGGCAGGAAGAGTGTTTTGTGTGACAAGGATGAGGATAGAACACCGAGCCAGAGTTATGGTCTAGTTTGGCTGGAACCTAGACTTGTGAAGGGGACTAGTTATCAGAACAAGGCTTTTGGAAAGTAAGGGGGAACCGGTTTGTTTTAATGGCAGGCTAAGTAGTTTGTATCTCTTTCTAGAGATGATGGGGGGCTATTGAAAGTTTTTGCATAGGGAGTGGCATGATGAGTCCTGTGTATTAACTTTTGTAACAAATAGATCAGTGTTTAAAACTGCTGCCAACTAAGACACAGAACTGATAAAAAAAAAAAAGACTCAGTTATTTGATGGGGGTTTCAAGAGGCAACTCGGCATAGTGGGAAAGAAATTGAATTTAAAATCAGGACTTGGGTTCAAATCCTTAGCCAAGTGGTCAGGGGGCACAGGATGGACAACAGACACTTATATGTGATCTTAGGCAGGTCACTTAAAACTCTTTATCTTCATCTGTAAGATGAGATTGGACTAAATGACTTATAAGGTCATAATTAAGGAACATAAATATTGCAGGTGCCAGGTCATTTCTTCTCCTTTGCTACTTAGATGAGAAAAGTCAAGGGGAAAATAACCCAGCATGCACTACATTTAAAAATTTCTTTTCTTGGAAGTTTTGGGAGAATGGTGGTCTCTTGGAAGAATGCACACATAGCAGAGAAGGGAGAAAATACCTAGGGAAAGGGGAATGATGGCACCTGTAGGAAAAGGGACTTGAGATTTTGCTCTTACCTTTTATGAAATAGATGCCATCTGAAGACTGGAAAACCTTTGAAACTGATTCTTGTCTTGCCTGCGAAACTGCATAAATTGTTACAGAGTTGGGGAAAACTAAAGAATGGGAAAAATTGAGAGGAAAAAATCACCTCCTTCCCCCACCTCCCTTTTTGGCAAAGGTACAGGACATAGAGGTGAAGGTGGGAGCAGGAGGGGGGAGATGTTTCTGACAGGGCAGCCTTATGTTGGGGACTGTGACTGGATTTACCCATATTTGGGACCACACACACTCCAATATACTTTCCCCCAAGTTTTCTGTGTGAGACTATAAGAGAAGTGAAGAATCCCCACACACACACCCCACCAAAAAAAAAAATGTGCTAAGGACCTTTGAGTTACAAATAGAACACTTGTCCCTAGGATCCTAGGACTGAAAGCTGGAAGAGGCCTTAGAGATCACCTCAGTCCTAGACTGTCACCAAAAGAGAGTTGATACCCAAGATAGAATATAGTAAGAAAGCACTTAGTAGCCCTTGATGGATTCTAAGTCACCTGGCCCAGATGAACTATGTGTATGTGATTGCTAAGCCACTATCAGTGATATTTGAAAGATCATGGAAAATAGGGGTGTCACAAAATTACAGAAGGGTGACAGTCCCAGGTTTTTGTGTGTGTGTGTGTTTTTTAAGGAAGAGAACAGTGTGCAAACCATAGGCCAGTGAACTTGACTTCAGTTGCTGGGAAAATTCTAAAGCAGATCATTCAGGAGATTGTTGAAGAACATCTGTAAAGTGAACTGATGCTTACAAAGAGCTCAGCCTAAGTCCATCCAGTACAAGTCATGTCATATTTACCTTATTTTCTTTTTTGACAGGATTACTAAACTAGTAGATGAGGGGAATGCTGTGGATATAGTTTACCTAGATTTGGGTAGCTAGGTAGCACAGTGGATAGAGTGCCAAACTTGGAGTCAGGAAGACTCATCATCTTCCTGAGTTCAAATCTGCCCTCATGCACTTACTAGCTGTGTGACCCTGGGCAAGTCACTTAACCCTGTAAAGCTGGAGAAGAAAAGGGCAAACCACTCCATTATCTTTACCAAGAAAACCCCAAATGGGGTGATGAAGAGTTGAACATGACAAAAAAAACTGCAGATCTGAGTATGGGTTTTGATAAGATATATCATACTATTTTAGTAGAGAAGATGGAGAGATTTAGATTAGATGATAATGCAATTTGATGAATTTAGAATTAATTGCAGTCATATTCAAAAAGCTGTTAGTGGTTCAATGTCAGTGTAGCAGGAGGTCTCCAATGAAGCACCCCAAAGGATTTGTGCTCTGTGGTGTTTAATACTTTTATCAATAACTTCGATAAAAGCACAAATGACCTGATGCATGTTAGTAATCTGGATCCCTCTTTTTGCTTATTCCTCCTCTTGTTGAGAAGGATTCCTTAGACTAGAACCATTAGAATATACTAATATTAGAATATTCTAATAGAATTGATCCTCAAGAATTTGAGGTTAGAGTAGAATTGGAGCATTGGGCAGTCTAGTCCCCCAGTTGGGGAAACACAACCCCGGCGTGAGGAACAGTGGGCAATTTGCACAGGCAGGCGAAGGGCAGGGAGTGGTAAAGGTTGTCTGCCCTCATTGCCCCAGTCTAGCTGCATCCTTTAGCTGTGGTGCATTATCTCTGTCCTCCCCTGTCCACTAGCAATTTTCTCTCTTTTAGCCCAGCATCCCCCACTGCCTAGACAATGTTCCATCCTTATTCTCAACTGACTTTCAAATGTTAAATGATCAACCAGCGATCAGCGATAGCTCCTAGCAATATTTTCATTTTCCAAACTTCTCTATCTTTGAGGCCCTTAAGAATGAAGCTGAACTTCTCAGTCAGCTAGAGTGGAATTGTTGGAGGGTTTTCCCCCCTCACATCCTCCAGGCATAGCAGTTAGGTAGTAACAATGTTTAATTAGTACCTCTAAGCTCAAAGAGTACTATTTTCTATGTCATCTCCCCATGGGGTAGGTAGTACAAATAGTATCCCTTTCTATGAGTGAGAAAACAAGTACAGAGGAAATGACATGTCCATGGTCACACAGCTGCAAAATGTTGGTATTGGTACTCAAACCCAGGTCTTGTGAGGGCAAATTCAGTGTTCTCTATTCTACTAGGCTGTGTTCTAGCACCCCTGTCAGGGAAGACAGTCAGAGATAGACCCACAGCTTGGGTAAGATGTCAGGGTTTGGAAGAAAGTATAGAGATTTGAGAATTCAAAGTCCTGGCCTGTTAGCTAAAACCATGAGACAAGTCCATTCCTAGGGAAAGCTGATAGGAAGAACAAAACAGAGGTCCAAGTGGTGAGGGAGCCCTGGAGAATTGTCCACAGTTAGGAGTTGGGAGGAAGAGGTGGCAGCCAGGCACACTGACCAAAAAAACCAAACCAAAAACCCAAGGAGATAAGAGTCACCAAAGCCAAGGGGTAGAGCCCTAAGGAGGAAGTAGTAAACAGCATCTAAGGGGGAAGAGAAGTAAAGAAACATGAAGTGGGCAGGGAGGGGAGAAGGGCACCATGATGCTAAGGGGGAAAAAACAAAACCCAACTCTTCAAAAGACACTGAGTATGAAATAGGTAGAACAGCTCGAGCCTCAAGGATGAAGACAGTAAAAGCTCACTTTACCAATCCCGTGCTAAAGTGTCGGTCGGAGGGCCCAACTTTTGAAAAAATATTTTCTACTTCTAATTAACTCTCAATAGAAAGCAACATTACTAGGATGTAAACTCGAAAGGCATGGGCTATTCTCACATTTGCATCAGTATCCATAGTATCTAGCAGGCAGCTTGGTGGTATAGTGGTTAGAGCACTGGACCTGGAGTCTGGAAGACCTGAATTCAAAGTCAGCCTCAGACACTCACTAGTCGTGTGACCCTGGGCAAGTCATTAACCCTAATTACCTCAGTCTCCTCATCTATAAAAGGAAGGAAATGGCAAGGATAAAACTCCAAATGAGGTCACCAAGTGTCAGACATGAACAAAAATGAGTGAACCTTCTTTGCAAACTGAATTTTGTATATAAATTCTATTGAATAACAACACCCTGCTTTTTGCAGTGTTTTATAATTTAACTGTTAGGAGGCTTTTGCATCTATTATCTCCCTTGACACAGTGCCATGGAAAGAGCAACGGATTTTGAGTCAGAGGCTCTGTATTCAAATTCTAGCACTAACGCTTGCCTGTGTGATTTTGGGCAAATCATTTAACTTTTGGTCCTCAGTTTCCTGAATTGTAAAATGATTCTGGGGTTGGACTAGATGACCTCTCATGTTCTTTCCAGCTCTAAATCTCTGATCCTGTATGCAGTACTATATCCCTTTAAATCAGGAGTTCTTATTTTTTTTGTGTGTCACAGACCCCTTTGGCAGTCTCTGGTAAAGCCTATGGAATACTCTTCATAGTAATGTTCAGTGTCCAAATCCATAAGGAAAGGAAATGCTAAATTTCACTTAGAAGTTAATGAAAATGAAGATGAATATTTTTTCCTCGTCCAAGTTTCTGTACTCTCTGAAATCTCCACAGAGCTGGAGCCAAAGTTAAGAACCCTTGTTTTAAATATTTGTTTTGAAGACTAGCCATGGTCACTAGGGGATTTAAAAGGCTTTTTTGTTAACCCATTTGTAGAGTATGATAAAATATTAACTTTAATCAACATGTTTCCAGCAGCATAATTTATTTTTAAAAATGGGAAAGACCACGAGTCAGTCATGTCTAAAAATGTATTCTGCAAAAGAATAAATGAAGACTTAATGTTTATTTTTAACCCATTTGTAGAGTATGACAAAATATTAACTTTAACCAACATGTTTCTAGCAACATAATTTATTTTAAAAAATGAGAAAGACCAAGAGTCAGTCGTATCTAAAAATTTATTTTGCAAAAGACACAAGGACTGAAAGTAATAATGTTCCTCCAAGAGAGGCTCAAACGCTGGACAGTAAGGAAATGTCTCCTATCTCACAATGGGCTGGAGTTCTGTTCCATCTTCATTCGTTAGTGACTTTCTGTTTCTTCTTGTCTTTGCATCAATTAATTTGTTGCTTCTGTTCATGAAGCTCTATAAAAAAAAAAAGTAAAAAGATGGAGGAGAGTTCCCAATGCTGTATTCCTGCAGTGCCAACAGATCACTTTGCTACATGCTGTGTGAGAAATTAATTTTCCAAAAAGTTTATTTAATTTAGATATGAATGAATTAAAAATAGGTCATCACCAAAAAAATATTGAAAGCATGTGGCTCATAGCATGAGAATATCTAGTTAATTTTTTAATACCATCGGAAACAATGTCCTTTTCATGACACACCGATACAAAGTATAAAAAACTGCTTTTCATAGGGAATGCATGGTTTCCATGGAAGATAGAGATGTCTGTTCAATACATCAGTACACAGTAGGTGCTTAATATATACTCACTGACACGATCTGGTGTTGTTGCTCTAGGCATTTCCTCTATCCATTAATCAACACTTATTAGTGACTACTATGTACCAGGCACTGTGCTAAGTGCTAGGGATACAAAAAGAGTCAAAAGACTGCCCCTGTTTTCAAGGAGCTTACATTCTAATGCAGACTCCAACCCTCTGATTTCTTCCTTATAAGACTGTCTTTGGGAGTTGTTACAGCCAAAAAATTCATTCCTCAGCAGCCAACCTGGAAATAATATGCCTCTCTGAACCTAGCTAGGCTGGTCCTCAGATGACAGACCATCTCTGGGCTTATTCTTGAGGCCCTTCCAGTTTGTACTTTCTGGTGCAATGGAAAAAGTGTTGGCTTTAAAGTTAGAGGACCTGGGTTAACCTCCCACCTCTGATGCTTACTTATCTGTGTGACCTTGGGCAAGTCACCTTGGGCCTCAGTATCATCAACTGTAAAGTAACTGTACTTTGAGGTCTTTGAGGTCCCTCCCATCTCTAAATCTAGGCTCTGATGATTCTATATCCAGAATTTTTCTCCATGCCACAATGAGGTACTAGAATGGGACTCTGATGGAGGTTAGTACAGAATAATAGAAGTAATTGTAAAGGCATAATTCCATTCTGGACCTAACAGGTTATAAAAATGCCTTATATACTCTGCTTAAAACAAAGAGTTTAAAAGTATTTTCCTCCAACACAATCTGCTTTCATAATACTTATCACGTTACTTGTTGATATTTTGATACAGAGACTGAAAAGAAGTAGGCAATACGTACATAGAAATATATAAATATATTTAATTTGTTTATCATACAGTCATTTTGCAGTTAAAAAAATCTTTTCATACCAGATAAGGTGGCCAAGAAGCTCAAACTTGTTGGGAAACAGTTGTCTGTTGGCTCCTGATAGACTAGCATGTTCCAGATTGTAAAAGGCTGCATTAATGTCAGCAATCGTCATTATTTTCAGTAATAGCTCTTAATAATTATTGACCTCAATGGATGCAGACATAACTTTTAATTTTGTATATATCTCAGACCTGAAGTGCAGGTAGGGCTAAAGTAGAAAAGTAGAAGTACCTTCCTGCTCATGAAAAATGAGCGCACACTTTTTCCTTGGAAAGGGAAGAAAGGGAAGTGATAATTTGAAATAGAAGTGTTACACCCCTGTGAAAGTGTCACTTTCTAAAAGTGCTAATGTCTCATACATATACATTGGTATCACCGAATCAGAGATTCAGAACTCAAAGGGACCTTGGAGGCCATCTGGTTCAGTCTTCTCATTTCACAGATGAAGAAACTGTGGCCCAGAGTGTGTTGTGCCCACAAATGAGATTATTGATCCCACAATCAAATGCACCACTCACACCTCAGCTCAATGTTTCATGACAATTCTACTCTGAGGAGTTGGAGGTAGCAGAGTCCATTTTCTAAGAGGAGCTTTTCGAGGGGGAAAGGTGTGCCCTGATTTTTCATGATTTGTAAGTGACTTGCCCAAGGTCACACAGGTAACAAGTGTCAGGGCTGGGATTTGAACGCATATTCTTTGACCTCAAATCCAGAACTCTGTTATCCCATGCTGTCTGTCAAACCCACTAAGACACACAGTCTTCTTATGTGGCATGCATGCCTAGTTATAAATCCACATGCAAATCAATCTGCTTACCATTAACTCTTGATCCATAAAGTAGGGTTTCTCCGGCGATCCATCATTTGTTTCCATGTCAATGACAAAACACAGAAGCAAGGTGTCTAGCACAGCTTCAAACACTGACAGGAAATTGTGGGCTACTAGATAGGCAAAAAAAGCCACTAATAACAAAGGAATTGCCCATACTTGCAGCTCACGATGATAGTTAAAGGCCATTAGTCCTCCAAAGACAGTGAAGTATACCACAAATATCTATTCAAAAAGCAAAATAAAACAATGGAAATTAATAAAATTCATCTTTACTAACAAAGTAATCTCTCTGTTTCTCTGTGTCTTCTCTCTGTCTCTGTCTCTCTCTTCTTTCTCTGTCTCTCCTTTCTCTGTTTCTCTTTGTCTCTCTCTTTCTCAGTCACATACACACACATACACACACAATGATATGAATAGGGAGAGGTTTCACTAATGGTTTTCACTTAAGTAGCAGTTTTACCCTCTATCCTGGGACTACCATCTAATTAAAAAGTGTTGCCATTAGCCTTTACTCTCTACAATTGTTTCCAGGAACAAGATTAAACCTAAAACTATAGATATACAAACTGCGGGTACAGTGGGTCCTCTACTTTCTCTAGGGAGGACTGGATCTGATTTCCTGAGATAGGGTTTAAATCTTACCTTTGAAATCAACTGTCAGACCCTAAGCAAGCCAATGAACCTCTCTGATCCTCAGTTTCCTCATGTGTAAAAAGGGAGCTAGTGTTTCCACTATCCAGTGAAGGAAGTTGTTGTGAGATGAAAATATTTTATAAACCTCAAAGTGCTACGTAAATAAAGGCTGTTTTGAGTCACAGCATCCACAGACAGAACATTTAGTAAATGCATTCTTTAGACTCTTTTGTTAAACATAATTGTTAGCTTAAGAAAGATAGGTGCTAGCAGAACCGCTGCTGCCTGAATATACGAGTGAAGCCCAGGGAAGAAAGAGAACACACGTCAACTTCACCTGCACTTGTGAAATGTGAGTACTGTACATCACAGCTCTTTGTATGGGTGAACAATAGCCCATAAAGGAAAGAGCGCACCGATGAACCCGGGAGAAATGTCATGTTTAGAATAAGGGACGTAAAGTCCCCCTGGATGGTACCCTGTGAAAACTACATCTGGAGCGATGGACCAGTTCCTGGACCAATTCCAGGAAACACATTCTGAGACATAGCAACAAGGTGGAGCATAATCAGAAGATGAATGACCCAGATGGTCACTGAGAAAGGCAGCTTGGGCTTAGAGGACACAGGGCTAAGCTTGGAGTCACCAAATCCCACTTCGGACACTACACTACCTGTGTCATTCTGGTGAATCACTTAAGTGTCCTCATCCTTTAAGTGAGGGGATTGGACTATGTGGCCTTTTAGGGGCCTTCCATCTCTACAGCTAAGATCCTACAAGTCTCTGTTGAAGGGTTTGGAAAAATGCTATTGGAGAGACTGGAGGTGTTTAACCTGGAAAAGAGAAGGCTAAGCAGGAGATGGTGGTAACAAGCTCTCATCAGGAGGAATGGTTAGATATATTCTGTGTAGGGCAGAGATAAATCCAATGGGTGGAAGTCTAAAGGGAGGCAGATGAGCATAATAATAACAGCTTGACAAAAGCACTTAAAGGTTATAAAGTGCTTTACATAATCTCATTTCAGCCTTAATAATGCAATGAAGTAATAACAATAACAGTTATAATTATTATATAATTATATACAATTATTATATGCTTATATAATAATTATATAGTATTTTAAAGCTTGCAAAGTGCTATACTATGTTTCATTTGACGGGTTAACTACTACAGGTATTATTATCCCCCTTGAACAGAGGAGAAAACTGAGGTTCAGAGATTTTGCCCCTGGTTACACAGCTATTTAGTGCCAGAAATGGGATCTGAAGCCAGGGCTTTTTGACTCTATTCACTAAAGCGCAGCATCATTCAGATAAAACTTGCTAACAACCAGAGCTGCCCCACAATGTGATGGACTGCCTTCTCTAAACACAGTGAGCTCCCTGTCACTAGAAGAGTTCAAGCACGGGCTTCATTTGTTAAAGATGTTCATAGGCTCATAGGATTCCATAGATTTAGAGCCAGAAGTGATCTCAGAAACCATTGAGTTCAACCTCCTCATTTTTACAGATGAAGAAACCAAGGCAAAGTTAAATGACTTGCCCAGAATCACATAGCTAGTGTTACCTGTTATCAGGTGAGAGGTTGGACTAGATGATCACTAAGTTTCTATGAAACTTTGGCCAACAATATATAGGTGAACTTTACCCTAATTAATGCATTTAATAGTTCTTGCTAGTTTAAGGACATAAACATCCACCAATGACCCGCCTTTTTAGACATAACTGACATATACTACATCATTTAGTGTGATTACTTATTTCCATGAAATCTAAGTCAGTCTTTTGAACCTGAATCAATACTTTTAGATTAGAATTATTCCCATTCCATTTTGCAGGTGAAAAAGAAAAAAAAAACTTGTCAAAAACCAGCACAGCATGATTAATTTAGGATTGCAAGTTTCCTTACTTAGTATTTTAATGAAGATATCTCACCTTTCCTAGAAAAATCATAAAGTCTCCAAAGCAGCTAACTGAGGCAATATGGCCTGGATTCTTGGATAAAATATTGTGCGAATCCCGTGCAGAAGTGTAAAAATCTGTCCCATTGATTGAAGTGGCAATATAGGCATTCTGAAAGAAGGGACGATTAGAAGAATTAGAATGTAAATTTTTTGATGTAAGTAGTATTTTATTTTTTCCAATTACATCTAAAGATAGTTTTCAACAGTCTTTTTTAAATAAGATTTTGAATTCCAAAATTTTCTCCCTCCATCCCTTACATCCCCCTTCCCAAGAAGGCAAGCAATCTGATATAGATTATAAGAAAGCAAGTCTTTAGAACTAGAGTTCATTGTCTGAAGAAACATATAAAGAGAAACTCTATTCACTTCTCTTCTTATCACAGTCATGATTCAGGGAAAAACTGGGAAGATTTCTTAATTAATTTTGCCAAAATCCCTTTTCCTGTATGAAGCAGAAATGCTTCCAGACCACCTGCTTCTAATAGTTCTCTGAAAACCTTAAAAATGTTACATATGAAAAGGAGAAACACTCATGCCCTGTTGGTAAAGCTGTGAACTAACTGGTCCAGCCATTCTGGAGAGCAATTTGGAGCTAGGATCCCAAAGCCACAAAACTGTTGTCTACCATCTGGCTCTGTGATACCATTAAAAGGCACACACACCAAAGAGATTAAAAAAAAAAAGAAGAGGAGAAAAATGACCCATGTGTACAAAACTTTATGTAGCAGCAAAAGAACTGGAAATTAAAGAGGTGCCCATCTATTGGGGAATGGCTAAGCAAATTATGGTATATGAATGTAATAAAATATTACTATGACAAAAGAACTTATAAAAACGGACTATTTCAGAGAAAATTGGGAAGACCTGTATGAACTTATGCTTAGTGTAGTGAGCAGAGAAGTAGGAGAAAAATTCATAGGCTGACATTATAAAGGAAAAAACTTTGAAAGATGCTCCATACCTCCTGCCAGAGATGTGATGGCCTCAAAATATAGAATGAGACATGGTCAAAGTGTGGATTTGTTTTGTTTGATTATGCTTTACTTGGCATGAGGGTTTTCATTATCTCTTTTTTTATTATTGAATTGTAGGGGGAAGTGTGGGGTAGAGAAAAATAAATGCTTGTTAATCATAAAAAAAGTAAAATTAAATTGGGGCAAAAAAATTGGCAAAGGTGAATGTCGGGTGGATTGAACTATAGACTTTCTTAACAATGAAACCCCCAAATCTGCAGTGGGTTTGCTTGAATTTTCATGAGTATGCTGCTGAAGTGGGGTGGATCAGTAATCACGTATGTCAGGGTATGGTCTCTTTAGCTCTAAAATTTGGTATTTCTGTGATCAGATAAAGGTATATTAGATACATTTCAGTTCAGTAAACATTTATGAAACACCTACCATATGGCAAACACTGTCCTGGGCACTGGGGATAGAGACAAAAAATGAAATAGTACCTGCTTTCAACAAGTTTTTCTACTACTGAGAGAAGGGTAATATAGTGTATTTACAAGTAAATACAAAGCATATAAAAATTAATATAATTTTTAAGAGAAAAAGCCCCAATAATCAGGGGAATCAGGAAAGTCCTAATGTATGTGATGGCATCTGAGCTATGCTTTAAGGGAACCTGAGGTGGAGAGATGAAAATGAAGAAAGAGTACATTGCAGGCATGGAAACAGAGATGGGAAATGGAATGCTGTGTACAGAGAACAGCTAGCAGACCAGTTTGATTGGAATGGAGAAAGCATGAAAGGGAGTAATATGAAATAAAAATGAAGTAGTATAGGTGGAAGTTAGCTGGTGAGGGCTTTGAATTTGAAGCTAAGGATTGCTTATTTACTCTGTGTAATACACAGGCCAAACTGACCAAGCCCACCACACCCACTGCAGTCTCAACACATAAGTCCAACGATTGTAGGAAGCTACCCACCATCAGGTCCATCACTGTCCCCTCCCGAAGGAGAAGATATGGACGGACAAAATGACCTGCCTTTGATACTCAAGATGTTATGGCCATGTGATCCTTACTAAACAGAACACATTTGCCGTTTGGAAATTCAGAAGTAAGTACTCGGTTTACTAGGGGACGGAGACAATCTGCCACCTGTCTCTATGGACTGTGTAACATGACTACTCCACATTCACATAGGAATCCCAGGAAAGGGTGGGTCTCGATGTTCAAATTACATTCCATTTGAGGCTCAACCATTCCTCTTCAGAGTGGCAAGGCATTGCTACTAGATTCAGACCTCTTTATTTGCTTCCTAAATCCTAACTTTCTACATAATGCCGAATTGTAGCTACTAAATAATATTTTTGCTGAGACGTCTTTTTTTTTTTCCTGCAAGATTGTTACCTTGTTGAAAACTTTCCACCTCCCTGCCAGGAGAAATAAAAATAAATTTAGTCCCTTGGCCAAAATGTTTGACTGTTAACATGGTCCTTTATCAAGCTCTCACAATCTTTCAAATTTCTTTGCACCTATAATCTTTTATTTTTTAAAAAAATTTTTACAAAAGGATGAGCCACACCCACAGAAAGACAGCATTAAGGACCCTGACAGGGAAATTATATGTATTTTCTTGAAGTTACTGCAACACAGCATTTTAGTTCAAAAGATTCCATACCCAGAGTCCAATAGGGAGACCTAGAATTAATGTCTGAGTATGTAAGTGGGGGCTGAGATGTAATGGGAGGTAGGCAGAAACACTCAAGGCACAGGAAATGAAATGAAGCTTTCTATAGTTACAGCTGGAAGATGGATTATACTGTATTTGTAATATATTTAAAACTCTGCTCTAAGCACTGGTATGTTGGGTTGGACCAGTGAATTTCAGGGATGGTTGTGTTAAAGGAATCTGTAAACTCTGATGTTTATCTAAGGATTAGGGAATTTGCTGCTGTGGTTGGGAAAATTTCTCAAGAGATCCTGGAGGCTAATCTTTTTAGTACAATAGGAAAAAGGGCCCAAGGTAGCTAGTATATCCTATTACAGGGCAAACCTATTATTCAGGTTCCATAGAAGAGGCTCAGGGGACCACAGAGTTAGGATAAAAAAAAAATTTTTCCCAACTTTAGAGGAAATCTAATTCTGACCCTCTCATTTTACAGATGAAGGACCTGAAGCTCTGGGAGGTTATAAGTGACCTCTCTAGGGTCACACAGGTAATAAATGGCAGAAATGGGGGTTTTAACTTGGAACTTTGGACCCCCAAGCCACTGGTTCTTTCCACTCTTCCTCTCTCTCACTTTTTAAGATGGGGTCACTGTAGCTCACCCATGCAGAAGGTGCAGAGCACTCCTCCACCCAGGCTCACTGTGATCAGCATACAAGTTTTGACTTGTTCCATTTTCCAATCTGGGCCGGTTCCTTAGGTAACCTGGCTCCCCACTCCTAATACAGAGTTGCTGAGGGCTCTCCACATCAATGGGGAATTTTGTATGGATACTCGCTCAGTTTTAGCCCACTCTAGCTCATCTCTCCTCGAGAGATCTCTCAGCCTTAGCCTTCCTGGTGGCTGGAATTATGGGCATGCACCACCACACCCCAACCATACCAAAAGTTCATTAGATTCCCAAGCACATTTGAATCCTGGCTGTCTTAAAAGAGAGTCTACAAAAGTCTTAGGGAGACACAGTGGAAGTAGCCCCATCCTGACATAAGCAAAGAGGAACACTACCTTAACTAAGTTTTCTGATTCGGAATCACAGGATCCCAGAGGAGATCTCAATGGCCATTTAGCCTTACCTGTCATTGGCAAAATATCTTCTCCACAACATACCCATCTAGTGGTCATCTAACCTTTGAATAAAGACTTCCCATGAGGGAAATCCACTACATCTCAAGGCAAACCATTCCCAGTTTGGATAGCTCTAATCACAGGAAGTAGAGAGAGTGCTGGGCCTGGAGTCAAAAGAGTCAACTTCCTGAGTTCAAAACTGGCCTCAGACACTTAATAGCTGTGACTGTGGGCAAGTCATTTAATCCTCTTTGCCTCAGTTTCCTCATGTGTAAAATGAACCAGAGAAGGAAATGCAAACCATTCCAGGATCTTTGCCAAGAGAACCCCAAATGGGACCACGAAGAGTTGGACATGATTGAAAAATCACAACCAAAAAATTGTTAAGAAGCATATCCCTAAAGATGGTCCTCAGATGTGCAAGTTCTTTGTATAACTAAGAGGGTTTTTTTTTTGTTTGTTTGTTTTTGTCTGGGTCTTTTGGTCTAGAATAGTGATTTTATTGCTCTGGTGACTTCTGGTGAGGATATTCTTTTTACCAGTACAAATTAGTAACCATTTCTTCAACTTATAGACTTAGAAAGTAACCTGGGACACCAAGAAGTAAAGTAATTTGTCGAGGGTCACAAAGCCAGAGTTAGAGATGAGACTTGTACCCAGGTCTATTTATCTACATTGTTCCACAGTGCCTCACTGTAAATAAAGATATATGGCCTATTTGATGCTGATACAGACTCAAAGGAAGGACACTCCTGAATCACCTGGGACCATTCCCAGCAAAATATTTTACTCATTACATTTACTCTGATCTCCAGAAAGAGTCAGGGTGGTATAAAAGTCTCTTATGGTGACCAATTTTTTTAAAAAATGTAATTATTTAAAATTAGATCTTTTTCTTGTAATACTTGTAGTTTTCTAATTCACTTGTAGTGAATACTTGGCCTAGAGTACACCCCATGGGGCACCAAGTTGTTTCATCCCTCCAAGGAGGGGGGTGTACGACAATCCAACCCCCTCCCCATTTACAATCTCTTGCACTGAAGTCCCAAAGAATTAATGAGAACAGAAAGGGTACAACTCATTCCTCAGTGAGGGGGGAAGGGAGAGAGAAAGAGAGGGAGAGGAGAGGGAGGGAGACAGAGACAGAGGAGGGAGGGAGGGACGGAGGCGGGGAGAGAGAGAGAGAGAGAGAGAGAGAGAGAGAGAGAGAGAGAGAGAG